AGAGTAGGTTCAAATATAGGTGTTGGGTTATATGTGGACTTTGGGTGATCAAGTCTTATAAATACAAAGTCCATTCAACTTCACTTTATTTGCTTTTAGCATATTCAATTAAGGTACTCTTATTTAAATATTTTTAGAGCGATATATCATTGTTAAAATAAATATGACCATAAATTAAGTAATGTTGCCTGTAAAAGTTTACGCATTTGGTTGTAAAACAAGGTTTATGAAATTTTTATCTTTAAATCCATCGGTTATAAACATATAGGTATGTCAATCTGGTTAATCTATTCCAGTCCGAAACCCATAAACATACCTTTTTTTTTTTTGTCTAGTCTGGTCCATTAACACATTTAAATTCAACATTACCATCAAAATTTGTATATAAAATATGGAATGAGAATCATATAAGACATGTCAATCTATATAAATTAGAAACGTAATTACATTAACAAAGCGTACGTACAAATTTGTGCTTTTATGTATCTTTTTTTTATGAGTACTTTAATTTATGTATCTTATTTTTTTTTTGAAAAAGGGTATTCTATTAAAAGCAGGGGGAAATATTATAACATGGTAAAATATCAAAAGAACAACAATAGAGATAAGCAAAACAAGAAGACTACAATTTACGTCAAGTATACTAAAAGGAATATATCACCAAGTCCTTAAGGGGGATGCAGACACTCAACCTCAAGAAGATAGCGGGAAGCTTCACGACATGTAAATGGCGGGAAAAGGAAAGGAAGAACGAACCAAACACTCTAAACGAACGTGGAGACCGTACTTTGCCACCGGCATACTTTTATGTATCTTAGAGAAAAACAATTCTTATATTTATTTAAAGACATGCACACCAATATCAAAGGTAGATTTTAATGTCACTGAAATTATTGGGATCTTAAAAGTTAAAAAACATCACACTTTGTACGAGTTTAACGTTGCGTCGAAACTTCTAGCATTGCGATATATGTCTTTTTTAAATATACCCTCTTCTATATATATAATCAATCTAAACTTCGATATTTCAATAGTGGTGCACTTTTTTGTTAG